AAACCAACTATAATGAGCAAATTACAAAAGGAATTTTAATGCCAATACAGTTTCAATTCAAATCATTTTTTGAGCATGACAATAACTTGAATAAAACTTTAACTCATTATCAATACTTGACAAACAATTCAGATGATACTATTTTGACACATTTCATTCAGGGGGCTTTATGGAAAGAAAAAATATCTCATTATCATAATAAAATTATAATTCCGTATTTTTTATATATTGATGATTTTGAAGTAAACAACCCATTAAGTTCACACTCTTCTTGTCATTCTATTTGTGCCATTTATTATAGTTTTCCACTAAGTGACCAATCCAAGCTTTCCAATATATTTGTTGCTGCTTTACTAAAGTCAATTGATATAAAAAACTTAGGTAATGATCAATGCCTAAAACAATTAATTAATGAATTAAATAAGCTTGAGATCGATGGTATAATTATTAAAACTTCAGAAGGGGAAAAAAAAGTTCATTTTATCTTAGGTTTACTTGTTGGTGATAATTTAGGGGTAAATAGTGTTCTAGAATTTAGTAAATCTTTTTCCGCAAACTATTTCTGTCGATTTTGTAAAGAAAATAAATTGGTTACCCAAACAGCATCCGAAGAAAATGTTTTGTTGCTTCGAAATTATGAAAACTATTTAGAAGATATAAATACAAATGATTTTAAATTGACTGGTATTTATCAAGAACCAATTTTTAACCAATTAAATTTATTTCATGTAACAACAAATTATAGTATCGATATTATGCATGATATCTTTGAAGGTATCTGTCATTATAATATGTGTCACATAATAAAATACTACACAGAAAATGTAAAAATTTTGTCATTGCATACATTAAATTTAAGAAAACAAAATTTTAACTATGGAAGTATTGAAATTGGCAATGCCTCGCCACTTATTAAATCAATTCATATTCAGAAATTCCACTTAAAAATGACGGCACGAGAAATGATGACCTTTGTGCATTTTTTTTCATTAATGATCGGTGACTTAATTCCAAAAGATGATCCAGTATGGGCATTTTTTAAAAATTTCTTGGAAATAATAGACATTTTATTATCAAATCAAAGAAAATACTATAAATCATTTAAAAGAACTTATTAAGCATCACAATTCAAATTATGTTTTACTTTTCCAGGATACATTAAAACCAAAACACCATATTCTATTGCATTATCCTTCAATTATTAAAAAATCTGGCCCTCCTAAACATTTTTGGTGCTTTAGATATGAAGCAAAACACAAAGACCTTAAAGCATATGCCCGTAATATAAGTTCTCGAAAGAATATAGCATTATCGTTAGCCAAAAAATGTCAATATAAATATGCATATAATATAATGAACTATAAAAATAATAAAAATAATATAGAATTAGAGAACAGACATAAAATAACTAGCAATCACACAACTTTTTTAGAGAGAATTTATGGCTTTTCATTTGATACTAATTTATGCAGCTATTCTCAAATAGATTATAAAGGTACAACATACAAAACCGGATATTTTTTAACAAACTTAATTGATGAAGTGTGCTTATATGAAATTTTGGAAATTGTCATAAATTTAAATAATTTAAATGTTACACTTATAGCAGGGTTTCTAGCAGCTACGGTATTTAAAAATAGTGAAAATAGTAAGTTTTTTTTTCAAAATAGTGAGTTAAAGTGAGTTACATCTTATTAATAAGGATAGGTAACATCAAAACTAAAATGTAATAAAAAATACCATCGTTAATATAAATAAAATACTTTTTTTATTATAACAGTAAAATAAAAAGCAAATAGTAAATACCAATCAAACATATGTACATAATAACATGATTATTATAGTAATGTAACAAACAAATAAAAATAACTGAAAACGAAATAAATTTTAATCTTTGCGTTGTTTTTTTTCGATAAACGAGGAAATAAGGTTGTTTTTCCTTTTTTCAATTTTTTTTTAATAACTGCAGAAGCTTCTTCCTTCAGTTTATATTCTTTGTGAAGAGTTTGGGCTCCTTCTAACATAGCCTGTGCTATCTGTATTTCATTGAACTCTTTTTTCTTTACAGCATTCTTTAATCTTAAATTAGCTTCTTCAATCATTTTTTCAGCCACATTCTTCTGAGAAACTTCATTTTTCTTGGCTTCTTTGTATTTATCTTCTAATATCTTAATATCTTTTTGTGATTTAACAAGTTGTTCGTTTAATAATTGGTTTCTTTTCTTTTCTTCTTCTATATCTTTTTTTTCAATTTCTTTTCTTTCTGCCGTACGTTTTTCTTCTTCTAAATTACTTTTATACTTTCTGTATGCAAAATGTGCTTCAGTTAAAAGTTCTCTAGTGATTGGAATTAGTTCAGCCTTTCCACCATAAGCTCTTAGAGCACTTTTTATATTAAGTTTAGCGTTAAGTGTTTTGACTTTCATTCTGACTTTATCAGGAGTAATAATTTGTCCAGATATGGAAAACCCTCGCTCTACTGATGCACTTCCATGAGAAAGAGAAAGGACAGCTTTAACGACTTTAGTTATAAGAGGATATTTACATTCATTAATAGCATTTTTTATGTTAAATATGTTGTTCCAATAACAATCAATACGTGACGAGTTGTTTGATGTTGTTATTAAATTTGAGTCAAGTTGAAGTAGCAACCATTCGTCAGATAATGCTGTTTCAGATATTTTGAGAGGTAATAATCGAGCAACTTTTATTATGCTACGAATACTTTTTTCTTCCTTGCGCTCTTCTGGCTTTAAGCATTTAAAATGTTTTGTAGTTGCACTTGATGCGATTATAGTTTTATTAAGTAAATGAGTAGCTGCAGCAATAAAATGGTCTCTGACATTGGTTTTAAAGTGAAGTTGGTCTAAATCTTTCATTTTTAATATAATTTTTTCGGTATTGTCACCGCATTTAATACGATTCGTAGGAAGTAAATTACTTGAAATGAAATGAGAGTTTACGCTGTTTAAATCTAACAGTACATCAGGCTTGCACACTCTTCCCAACACAGTTGCTGTTAACTCCATTACTTCTTCAAATAGAATATGAATCAGAGGTTCTTCTTTTTGGAAGATGAGTAAAAAACGTTCGAAAATAGCTGCACTTTCAATAACAAATGCTACTTCTGCTCTCATAAACGAGTTTTTTAAATAGTTTGAAATATTTTTGAATTGGGCTGTTTGTACAATTTTTTTCATGTTCGGAGTTGCACTTTTAGGAATATCTCGAAGAAAAAACTGCTCCAATGCCGGCCATTGCTCTTGAAGTCTTTTTGCAGCAGTAGACAGGGTAAGCCATCTAGAAGTAATGTGTTTTACAAAACAATGCTGTGGTACGTTGACTTTTATCTGTGCATCCAAGAAAGCTTCTTGACGACTTGGCCATCCATCAAAAAATGCATTCACAGTTATTACCATATCACCAACATCAGCTCCAAATGTTTCTAACCCCTTGCGGAAAGCATTGTGTACAATGTGTATATTACATGACCCAATATCAAGCAAAGATGTACCTCGTTTCTTTTTTACAACTTCATTTATTATAGACTGGACTTTTTTGTTGACATTAGGACCATCCCTTGCCAACATTAGTAATTTTGTAAGGGGCAAATCTGCATTTTTCAAAGCGTTTAAAAGGTTATCTGCTAAAATATCACCTGTAGCTTTCCCAATAAAAAAAGTTTCAAGATGTTTGAATACAATTTTTTCTTCATGTTCTGACCAATATTGTATAGAAACCTGCAACTCTTTAAAATCAGCAGAGTTGGTTGTCTCATCGAAATGTAACGAATAATAAGCATTGCTTGCATCTGCCAGCAACTGTTTTCTGAAGTATGGGCCTAGAGCTTCAGTTACATAATACCCAAATTTACTTTTGCCAAGAGAAAACTCATCTGGAATACCTTTAGGAAACATCACTTTAAATATATTAACAATTCCGTCACATGATGAAGCAGAATAATTAGACCAGACACATTTCATTGTCCATAAAAGCTCAGCCCTTATTGCTTCATCTTTAATACATCGAAGACCAACATTACTAGAAATCGGCAAAGCACTCGTCGATGAACTTTGAATCGGCTGTTCAGTATATGAATATGAAGAAACAGGCGCTGAGTCATGAGTCCTAATCAACCGAAGTTGTGTAGAATCAAGCTTACACTCAGCATTATTTTGATGAAACTTAGTAGAAACATGTTGGGTTATTGCTTGAAAGCCTTTCATTTCACAGGAAAATGTTGATAGACAAACGGCACAGAAAACACTAGACTCATTTCTTTTTGTTGCCCAAGAAGAAATAACATACCCGAGTTTATCTATAAACGTAGGGTTTTTAATTATTTTCTAGATTATAAAGATAAATAGTGAGAAAAGTGAGGACATTTAAGATATAGTAAAAAAAAGTGAGTTGATTGAAAAATAGTGAGAAATAGTGAAAAAAGTGAGTCACTAGAAACCCTGACTTATAGTTAATCAGATTGAAATTGATTGCTATTGTCCTCATTTAAAAGCATACAAAGTCAATAAAGATAAAAATGCAATTTTAAAAACTGTTTTAAAACCAGAAGACTGCAGTGGGCCACCAATAAATATTTCTAAACTTTTAAATGGGGATTTATTTATAAGATTGAAAGAATATTATTAAAAATTATTTTTACTTATGTGTCTATATATTTTATATACCTACCTACAATTAATTTAAGTTTTTTAAACATTTTTTTTTTTAATAGTTTTATTTATATGCCGGATGTAACAGAAATATATGACAAATGAAAAAATTGTATTCTAATCAATATTTTTAATTTTTTTTTTTTCATATAATTATATGAAATAAAAAGTCCATATTATACATGTAATACAAACGTCTATAAATTATATGAAAAAAAAAAAATTAAAAAAATATTTATTAGAATACAAGTTATTTCATTTGTAATATCTTTCTGTTACATCCTGTATATTGTATTATTACAACATTTATTATAATCGGTATCACAGAAAATGGAAACTCAGATTTCAAATGTTGAAGACGGTACAAACCCCACTGATTTTGCACAACACATGGCATATACTGAAATAGGTGCAGAAGGTGCAATAGGTTTTTATTCTGAGAATAGTGACAATTTATCACTGGACCAATTACAAGCATCAAAAGATGACACAAATATGATTTGGTCATTACCCATCATGTCAAATGATGAAACTTTAGAGTTGTGGAATATTCTGAAATCTTGGAACCTAGGTTGTGTATATCAAACTTGCATAGGTAAGAGTACTTGAGTTTATCTAATTTTTTTTAAACTAAAAAAGATTTGTAATTAAAAATGTTGCCTGATAAACAAATTACCATTTACAGTCATAAATTATTTACTAAATAATTATAAACAAAAGTAAATCAATAATATTTGTTATAAAATATTTTATTATTTAACCCTAATTTAAAACAATAATTAAAAGAAATATAAATACTGTTTCTTGTTTTAACACTTTTGATGGTAATAAGTGGCTTACTTAACTTATCAAGATACACAAATTGATAATTATAGGTTTATCGGTTTATGTGATGTAAAATTTTTGAATAGGTTCCTACTGTGTAATAAATAAACATAATAAATCATTTTTATTTTTAGATCAACTTATAGATACAGATGCATTAAAATATATGAAAAGCAAACATATAGGATTATTATTAACTAACTACCCTCTTGGCATACATATTAAGTTTGAAAAACATTTAGAGGATTATCAGAAAAACCAAGAACAACAACACGATGTTTCATTGTTAAAATCAAAAATAATAGCCGAAACTCCAGTCCAGAATTTAACCCTAACGAGTACTAAACCATCAGAAATTGGATTTGATCTAAATGAAATTTTAATCAAAAGCACTCAAGGTGCTATGATAATTGATTATTATTATAAACAAAAAAAATTAAATGAATCGTCTCGATCTTTATTGGTAGAGATAATTATAAATGATCTAATAAAAAAAAACAGAACCATGACAATAGATTTAGCCAATAGTATATCAAATGCCATTGTCAAATCATTTCCAACAGAAATAAAGGTAAGAACTTTATAAACCATCTATTAAACTATAAAATACTAATTGATTTAAAGTATTACTTTAATAAAGCTTAATTAATTTTACTTATTATTTTATCAATTTATAGGATGTATATTTCTTAAAAGATTTTTCTTGTAAAGCACCAAAGGGAAAAGTTTATGCCAAATATTTCAACACAATGAAAAGGCTCAAAGATGTTGGTTTAAAATCTACAAATAAGATATTTGAGAATAAAAATATTTTGAGTAGATCTGAAGATAAATTGGATTGTTACTTAAATGGTGGGTAATTATTATTATTTTTAGATATAATAATTTAAATATTTGGTGTGCATTAACTATCAATTAGTAAATATAAAATAATTTCTAAAAAAAAAAAATATAATTAGATATTTTGTTTCTAATTGCATTCACTTTAACTAAGTTAACTAAGCAATCAAGAATGTAGCCACTAGACCATATTATATAATAATATCTGTCTTGAAAATACTTTTAAACTTAATTTTTAAATCTACCATACATTCTTGTTTTTTATTATGTTATTATAATCTTAATTATTGTTTGTATAGAAATTGAATCTGAATCTATTGAACTAACTGCCACATTAATAAATGATGGAGACTTATCTTGGACTGAGATAGAAACAATTTGGAAACAAACAGTTAATTATAGACTTCAATTCATAAAAGAAAATAACACCTCATCTATTTTTAAAAAATGGATACACTATACAAAACCTTTAGGCTACAAATTAGTAAGTCATTTGATATATTATTAATAAATTTACTTGTAAATAATACATATTTTTAGATTGAGATTGACTTTTGCCGTATGTATTCAAAGTTCAAAAACTTATCTGTAAAGTTTGGAGATAAATCGTCAACTCTATTAAATATTTTTGATGACCGTATTAAAGATAGTGGAAGTAAAACCCTACTACAACAATTAAAAGAATCTAACAATTTATGTGACAGTAAGTTTTGAAGTTAATTTCAATATAGACTTTTTACTAACCTAACAAATTATACATTTTTTAGATGGTAAACACTTAACCATGTTATATTTATTGCATTCATTGTTTATACCAACATCCAGAAAAATGACCTTAGATGAAAATGGGAAAAAATCTATGATCAAATATTCTATTAGAGATTCACAGAATACTTTTATTTTAGTAGCACCAGCTGCAGTAGAATTAGATACTATCATGGATAAACTAAAAAATCAATCAAATAGTATACAACCCTGTATATTAGTAGTAGGTTCATTATTATATCCAAAACAAGTATTGGTTTATTTTGATGATGTTAAATATAAGCTAATAACTGTTTTAAAAGCCATTGATGTGTGTTTTAAAATTTTTCATGTATTTAATTTGGAATACCCTTTAGAGTGTAGGGATGTATGGTTGTTCTTGCAGGTTTATTTTTATGAAATATGTACAAAATATGATAAAAGTTGTAGCTTAGTTAAACAGATCTGTTCTGAACTGGATTCTAAGTAAATACGTATACGCAGGTACAAGACAATATTGTTGTCATTTTTTTTAAAATCATTTTATTATTCAAACTTAACATTTGTTTTTAATACTCTTATATTATCTTTGTTTATGTATTTTATTATCATTTTTTTTAAAATCATTTTAATATTCAAACATATTTGTTTTTAATGCTCTTATATTATATTTGTTTATGTATTTTATTAAACTATACTGTTGTAAAACAAAAACAATATATTTTTATTATATGTCTAAGGTACAGTACAAAGCAATATTGTTCTCATTTTTATTTAAATCATTTTGATATTTAAACTTATATGTTTTTAATGCTTTTATATTATCTTTGTTTATGTATTTTATTATCATTTTAATATTCAACTTATTTGTTTTTAATGCTCTCTTATTATATTCGTTTATGTATTTTATTAAACTAATGTTTTTAAAAAAACAATATATTTTTATTATATTATATCTAATATCTAAGGTACAGTACAAAGTAAATTGTTATAATTTTTTTAAAAATCATTTTGATATTCAAATTTATATTTGTTTTTAATGCTCTTATATTATATTTGTTTATGTATTTTATTAAACTATTGTTTTTAAAAAAACAATATATTTTTATTATATATCTAAGGTGCATAGTACAAAACAATATTGTTATAATTTTTTTTAAAATCATTTTGATATTCAAACTCATTTGTTTTTAATACTCTTATATTATCTTTGTTTATGCATTTTATTATCATTTTGATATTCAAACTTATTTGTTTTTGATGCTCTTATATTATATTTGTTTTTGTATTTTATTAAACAACTGTTTTAAAAATACAAAATTTTTTCTTATCTATGATAACATTAGTTTGAATTCTTAATAATTCCTATGTTTTCCCTATATTTAGAGTTAAGGTAACAAGAAAGCAGTGGCGTAATTGAGAGTGTTTCATGGGGGGGGGGATCAAAATAAATTTCTATGGCAAACTTGTGGAGGGCTTTTTTAGTTTTTTGTATAGGTATAAGACATATTATATAAATACAGCTCATGGGGGGGATCTAACACCATATCCCCCCGTAATTACGCCCCTGCAATAAAGTTTATTGATGTGCAATACCAATAATATTATTTTATTGATGCTAATAATACATTTATTAATCCAACCACAGTTGGGTGTAACATCAATTAACGGCTTGTTAACGGTATAAACATTAAAAATCTCAGTTCGTAATATCAACAATTATTTTATTGATGCTAATAATACATTTATTAATCCAACCACAGTTGGATTGTAACATCAATTAACGGTTTGTTAATCGTATAAATATTAAAAATCTCAGTTCGTAATATCAACAATTATTTTATTGATTCTATTAATTTGTTCATAGAAATAAATGACAAGGAAATTTCATTGATACAACCACAATTAGTTTGTATTATCAATTAACGGTTTGTTTACCGTATATTAATGGACGTTTTATAGATTCGATCTAACTTTTTTTTAATTTCACCAAGATATTTGGTTGGGTGTAGTTTAGAGACCCCTGATCTAATCAGTAATGGACTTACGTTGGCCAATAAATATTATTTAGATAGGCGAATTGTCCGTCTTTTATTTATATTGTCTTTTGATCAAATATCTAAATGGACAGTTTATGTAACTTGTTGATACTGTCTATACGACTTGCGAATAATGCGTTAGTCTACTTAGTCACTGTATAATCGATGAACTTTTGTGAAACGTTTTTTTATAACTATTCTCCGTTTCCAGTTTATTTTTTTTAAACTGGTCGCTACAGTTATTTATCAAAACATGTCAGTGCAACATTCCTTGCGATTATTAGAACGAACCAAATAAAATTAAACTAATACAAGTAGGTCCTTACATATCGGTGATTTGTTTAAACCAAACTCTACGTACCTTTACACCGTCTACAGCATTCCTTCGTGTCCAATAAAACGTCCTGCCACATATAGCAGCTCTGTTCGCCGGGGCACTGGTCTTTGACGCACTCCACGAATCCGTTCTAAAACACAATAATCACAATGTTAATTTATTAATGTGGGTCGGTTATTAAATGATATACCTATAAGGCTTTAAATAATAGTAATCGCGTTTAGGTTAAGGCGGCTCTAAACGATTGGATTTTTCATGCATTTAGACCAATAAGCTGGTGAAAAATACACATATTTCTAGGAGTCCAATTTCAATTTTGAATACTTATTTGGATTCGTTAGCCTCTTTTCTATGATCTGTAGGAAAAACTTTTTCATCTTTTTGTCTTGTTAGCACTTAAAAGTGCAAGTTAAATTTGAGAAATCAAGCAGTCATTTGGAACCGTAATATACGTAAATTATCTAAAATATCCAAAATCGGTTTCCTACAAATCATAGAAAAGAGGCTGACAAATTCAAATAGTTTTTCAAAATTGAAATTGGACTACTAGAAGTATGTGTATTTTTCGCCAGCTTATTAGCATTTTTCACTGTTGTGAGTGTACAAAAATATTTTTCGAGAGTGAATACGTTGACTTGTGCATGCGCGTACGTGTGCTATTGAACCGTGTGCCCGCAGCCGGGCGATATAAAATCTATTGTTATCGAGTTCGAATTTCTTCGAATTTCACACTAATAATCATTTACGACTAACACATAGATTACGGGCGGCGACGACAAGATTAGAAATTTCCTAAATTGTTCCCCTTAAATAATAGCCACTAAGAGCCGCCTTAAATGAAGAAATTAAAGTCGTAACCGCGACCGTAAATACCATTTCACACGTATAATATTCAATATACCTGCTGACGATAATTATACGGAAAAATGTTTGATATATCTTTTGGAATTCGTTTCTATTTATTCAATTTATTTATTAATATTTTTTTTCTTGTATTTATACATACATTTTATACTATAGGTACGTATTTAATAAATGTAATAAATACATAATATTATAACATTTAATTTATACGTTAGTAGTTAGTATATATTATTATAACATTAATATTTTATCGACAAGTAGGTAATTTATTTTTTTTTTTTTTTTATTTAGGTACATACTGCATATAATATATAAATATAAGGTTCCCCTGAGAAATAAATTCCTTATTATCCTAATTAAAACGTTTATAAAATGAGTATAATAAATATTGATATTAATTCAAGTATATCGTTATTTTATGACCAAATTCAAATGTTAAAAACCATTTATGATATTCCCAAAGGGAGTCTATAAGTCAACTAATTTAATGTTACGATACGATAAAGAGTATTTTTTACGCGTATCGCTTGGACCATTTTTGAGAACAAAATATTTTTTGCAACTATAGTTGCAAACTAGATAATATCGTATCTAAATAATAATATGGCAATATAAAAGGCATATTTAATAGACTTATCCTAGCTATAATAATATAGCTTATTATCAAGCGCCGAAAGTAGTTACAGAAAATTATTCGATTCGTTATTAACTACAACTGCTGTTCAACACTAAATATTTACAACACAGTTAATATATATTAAACGATTCGTGTACATGTATTATAATATCTTTAAATTGAACGTTCAGAGTGCATTTTTATTAATATTATGTACTGGGTATCTTACGCCGTGTCCAACGTGAACGCGGAGAGTGCGGGCAAATTATATTCTGACCATGCTGTTCCGAACGCGGCGAAAATCAAGCTGTTTTGTTTTTTGCCGCGTTCACGTTGGGCACAGGGTTACAGCAAGTAGTAATATGCGTGAATATCAATTAAATATTAAAATAATAATATCGTTATTGTTTTTGCTCCCATTCGATTCCTATAACAGATAACTAATAACTTGGTAACTACCACGATTAAAGATAGAATGGTTGCACAACGAACTATGATAAGAAACAATTTTATGTTGCTCTTAGTTTCTTTTATTATCAACGATACTCTAGAAACTTTTACTAGCGCTCATAGGGTATAAATTATGTACTACGCATCAGAAATCAAGATTCTTCTGTAATAATAATATTATGCACACTATTTTCCCGCGAAAATGCAAAAAAAGTACATACACGATTATTTACATAATATACGATATTTTCAACGATTTTTACATTCGTGATTACATGGTACCTACTACCTACGTAATTTTAATTGTAAAGTTTGGTTTAAAGTCACATCCTAATAAAAATTTATTTCTCATTCTGAGAAGTTTAGAGTTAAGTTTTGTGAAACATGCTGGCTCTATTGATGTGTTTAATGAAACATTGTCAGATTTTCTAAGTACTAATAATCCTTTGACATTTGAATGTAATGTGCACCAAACTGATATTCTCAGTTCTCACAGATATATGTAGCACATTTGTTATAATGAGAATGAGACAGTATACATATTATATTAAAAATCAAATGAATAAAAAACAAAATAAAACTAAAAAAAAAATTATCAAAACTCGTAGGTAGTTAACTTAAATTATAATTTACACTGAAAGGGAAGTATATATTATATTATACTTTATTTAATCATCAAAAATATATTATTAATATTGTTTAATTATAATTATTATTTATTAAAATATAAAAATTATGTAATGTAACAACACAATATTATAATTTATAATTTATAAAATATAAATTTATCATTTGTTATTCCGTATTTTATTTTTTATAACGTAAATTCATGACACGATTAAAAATAGTATATTATCAATTATTATTCAATATTTAAACGCTAGGAGCGCTAATGCTCGGTTCTGCTAGTCGTTGTGATAACAAGGAAACTCTGAGAAACACTTTATTATGGGTCGTCGTGCAACTATACTATCTTTAATCGTGGTAACTACCCATAATACTAGTTAATATTTTCTTGTAAACAGAGTTCTACAACTATTATTGATATAAAACAAAACACCGGCGACAATAGCCATTAGTTGTTGCTGTTATAAATTACAATTATTATTGTAGACATTTATTTACATTTTAATTTACATTATTAATTTTCAACTTTCGTTAGACCTAGTGATGATAAATATGTTTTAAATTCTGATTCTGAAGTAGGGGTCGTAATTTAAAAATATGCAAGTTGTGTTGCCCTTACTGCGCACTCGTTGAGTAATCGTCATACAAAAGTGTCATGAGATTTGGATTTAAAGACCCTTGATATACAAAATCCTAACTTTAATTCAAAGTCGTATGTTCCAAATATTTAGTATGTTACTGAAATAATGACACGTTATGAATATAATATTATAATATGTACTTATCATGTTCAATGTATAGATATTGTTTCCACGAATATATATTTATACATACAAACCTTAATCATACTTATCTATATTTATCATTATATGTATAACCCAAATATTTATCAACCATTTATTGTTATTAATTATCCATCTTATTTTTATCCAGCTTTGTACATCGTTCGACCGTTCGCAACGACTGCTTTATCTATCGCCCGAGAGTACGCCGTTTCCGCCTCGCGATGGATATAAAAGGGCAAAGCACAGGTCGAAACGATACCATTCACTGCCTTTTCGGCGCCGGATCAAGACCTACCCAGGCAGACTTGCACGGCTCGAAAGGTAGTCTCCCTCCCGGACTCAACGTGCGGTATATATCCAATCCATGGCGCAATAGTCAGAGTTATTCTGGCATTGTATCCGATTGATGTAAAATACCTCCATAATACAATAGTTGGAGTAATTCTGGCATTGTATTGTCTTATACCACACGTTCGAGTCCCATCAGTGACTAGTAAACTCATACCTTGTTTTTATATGGTAGTGTGTCATTTTCCGAATGACTCTTTTTAAAAAATAAAACAACTTTTTCCGATAGCAATCGTGTCTTGTAGTTATTTCAAACCCAAACCATCGAAACCAATCGTTCTACGAACCTCAGGTGTCAACAGATATATTTTACAATTTCCTGTCGTATAACTATATAGTCTAGTAACGAACACACGCGTGGACACATCAAATTCAAAGTGGAATTATAATCAACATGTACCTAGCCTAACCTATATAATATGTACACGTGTATAGTACAACACAGCTACAACACACTAAAGATCAGTGGCGCCGAACCTATATAGTAAGGGTGGCGACCGCCACCCCTTTTAAATGGGTGGGTGGTGGGTCCTGTTATGCAGGTGGGCAAATATCTAACAGAAGAAATTTGACAGCTAGATACTGAGTGTTCGATAGTAAATTAGTACTTGGAATCAAAAGTGTAACGACTGTAACGTCTATACACCGTGTATTCCTGTGTATTAATGAAGTACCTAGGTAGTATATAGACGTATTCACTATAGACGTATAGTGAACAGTTTAAATTGTGTTATCTATTATTTTTACATTATCAGTTAGTGGTTTTTAGTACTGTGAAGTGGCTATTTTAGCCAACTTTTTTCCTGTAAAAACCAATAATGATATAATAATTATATTGATATAATAAATTGATATAAAATTATAAAAAGGTGCTCTGCTGTACAGTAGGTTACAAGTATGAAGTAGGCCACTGTATAATGGATAGTATTAAATTTTAATTCAATGATATAATATCATTGTATAAGAAAAACGATTCTGAGCGGAGACGGTATTGTGTCAGTCTAGGTATAAGATAGTATATACTTATCTATCGTATCAAAAAAAATTTACTTAAAATAGGTACCTTTAATAAATTCCAAATCAATCATATCATAATATCCATTAGGTACTTATAATGCGTTATACGTCAACAACAAACCCTGATACTATCATAGTCCATACTCCATAGATATATAATAGTGTACTTTAAAAGTTTCAAGTACCCACGAATAATATTACACAATCACAACAAAATAACTAAAATAGTTATTCTAGGTTTTTTTTTATGTAATTTTGTCCAAAGTTGAACTTAAAATGACTATAAAAATTAACTGTGCTTATGTATTTTTTAGATTTTTTGGTAACAGAATTTACTACTTACGTGGAATCTTGTTTTAAATTTTCAATCCTTAGATATCTTTAGATAATATCTTATATTTTATATTATAAAAGTTGAACATT